GGAAGAAAAAAATTACATGATAAACAACGTCTTTATTTGCTCCTGGAGGCCAAGGAAGATTTTATAGTGTTAGTAATGTTCTCAGATTGAAGTAGTAGAAAGAATACATGAATGTATGTATGATATGGGTATGGACATGAGTATACATATGAGCATATATATAGATATGAGTATGATATGGATATGGATATGAATACATATATAGGTTGGATATAGATATGATACAGATATAGATATCAATTTTAAATTGGGTTAAGGGTGAGTCAAAGGTCATTTGCCTAATGCATTGCAAGCAGTTGTGCCTCAAGCTCTCCAGAAACCTCAGAGGAAAATTAGTTTCACAGTTTTTCTTCATCCTGCTGAGGAATCATTATGAGTGTCCAGCAGATGCCACTGTTGTCAGTTGTAGATGAGTCATCACAGAAAACAATGGAGGTAAGTAAAATACAACAAAAGCAATCCTGTTGTCTTTAAAAAAAAGTAACAAAGTAATACATCATTGGATCTTATTACTTACCTTTTAACAAAACATTTAATTAGACACCTGGCAACTAAAAGACATGAACTAAATTTATTAGAAAAAAAATGAACAGGGAAAGCAGCAAATATTTTAAATTGTAAAATAAAATTTATTTAAAAAAAATTAGAAGTGGATGCAATGACCAATGTTGACTGACAGCTATACATATTTAACAGTCAAGATATATTCTGTCCTGAAGAGTGACATCAAGGAAGGATAAAACAAAATAAACAAATCCTGTTCCTTTTTTGTTGGTATTACTGGGTCAATATAAAACAATTTTGCATTTCTCAAACCTATACTCAACTGTGATTGATTTGTTACTGCAATTTATTGTTAAATTAATTACTAACTTCCATTTCCTTTAATGTATGTAGGTGTTAAGTCTTTTTTAATAATTTAAAACTTACAAATTAAATCTGACTTAAATAACTGATTCCTTGTAAAAAAAAAAAAATTGCCTGGTGGCTATTGTCTTTTCCTAGGCCGGACTCACAAATTCTACAGTGGGGCTAATAAGCATAATCGAGCTCTCCAGGAACACCTTTTATTTTAATCATTAATTTCTCAAAATGTCTCCAGATTATAGTTCCTATAGTTCTTTTCATACATATTCATGTGGAACAGAATTCCTGACTATTTTAATTTATTCCCAATAAAATATTAAATTTATGCTGTATAGTAGGCACTCTGATGGTGCTGTGAGAGATTCAGAAAAGAATGAACATAGTTTCTGTTCTTAAATAAAGCAGAGAGTAGAGTAGAAAGAAAGGTTCTGTGCCTGGACAGATCTGTACTAAGCTAAAAAATTTCTATCATTACATACACTCATCTGTAAAATGGTGATCCCTCATATGGTTATTGTAAGAATTAAATGAGATGACATATGGACACAAAGTGCCTCTCTCAACACCTGGCACGTAGTAACTGAACAATACTAATTTTTACTCAAATAGCTTATGGTATTGGAGAGCAGTTAAGATGAGTAGTCAAAACCCTGTTAACATACAAAGTAGAAAACAATAAGTGACAGAAGAGAGGAATAAACTACATGAGAAATTGCAAATAAAAGATTCCAAACAGAATTGTTGGAGAAGAGTTTATGGAAGAAGTGGCATTGAGCTAATGCTTGAGATAATTTCAAGCATTTAAAATACAGAATTGTGGGATAATTGTATTTCAGGTGGAGAAAGAGTAGGGATGAGAGGAGAAGAATCAAAACATGGCACTCACTCCCATCACTATCCTACCTGTTTCAAACATTGTTTAGAATTTAAGGGGTTAAATGGAGATATATCATGTTCGTGGATTGGAAGACTCCATATAGTAAAGATCTCAATCTCCCCAAATTGATATACAGGTTTAAGGAAATTCTATCAAAACTCTGGCAAGAATTTTTAGACAAGATTATTCTTAAATTTATGTCGAAAACCAATGGAACTACAATAAATAAAACAATTTTGAAAAGGAAGAATAAGATGAAAGAATCATTCTCCTAGATTTCAAAATCTATTATATAGCTACAATAATCAAGACTATGTGGCTTTGGTGAGTGGATAGAACCATAGATTAAAGGAAAAGAATAGAAAATCTATAAATAGACACATAAACACACAAAAAGCCTGTTATTTTTGACAAAGTTTAAAAAAATAATTAAAGAAGTATAATCTTTTCAACAATAGGTACAGGAGCAACTGGACATCCATAGGCAAAAAATAATGAACCTTGACCTAAACCTCATACCTTATTAAAAAATTAACTCAAAATCCATCAGAGACTTAAATATAAAATGCAAAACTATAAAACTTTCAGGAAAAAAACCAGAAACTAAGTGGCGAAAATAAGACAAAATAAAAATTAAACTTTTGTAGGGGCTACAGAAGAACAGCAGACACAAGCAGACTCCAGAGATAAATAAGCCCTTCACAGGTGAACAGAGAGTTCTGGCAGCATCGATACCTGGATTTGGGCACCTGGTCTAGGTATAGACAGGCCTGCCACAGGCAAAATGACTTTGAGAGGACAAGGGGAAATAGGCCAAGCCTTGTACTCCACTGTGGGTTGAAGGGATGGCTTGGAGTGTGGATGAGCAACAAATGCAATGAATATTGTTCTATCCAGAAATTATCTGCCCCTCCCCAATTTTGCCAAGAAGACAGCAGTAGGGGAGGGAAGGGATGATAAGCAGATACAAATCAGATAATTGTATGAATTTTTACAGTGATTTGATTCCAAGTTCCTGATAGATTTGAATCCAAAGGTGAACCAAAAATGTCTGAAACTGCAGTCAACCTCATCCCATGCCAAAAATTAATAGCAAAACATATAGGAAAGGAATTCTATCCAATCTAATAATCAGATAAATATAAATTCGAACAATGAAATATAATGTTGTACCCCATCACACAAACAAAAAAGTTTCAAGTGTCATTGAGGATGTAGAGAAACTAACGTTTTATACCCTACCAGTGTTGATTTAATTAATTCAGGCACTTTGGAGAGTACGTTGGCAACTTCCTGGGAAGCTGAAGAGGTAGAACATATTATTGTTCACAAGGATCTGCTTCCTACCTTTGGAGAGGATTGTAAGTCACCAGGCATTTCCATGTGTCTAACCATTCTGCCCTGTATGTGGAATATATTCCCCTGCCCTATTGACTTGGACTTGATCCTGTGATTTGGTTTGGCCAATGGAATATGAGTAGACATGGATACCCCTGTGTGTACAGAAGCTATTAGAAGCATTGCAAGTTTTTGTCAAGCCTTCTGAGCATACTACTCTGCCATGAGAAGGGTGCATACAAGACAGGAGCTCTTTCTATCCTAGGTACTGGCTGCAGCAACCATCCCTCAGCAACCAATGTGAAGTCTGGGCGAGAAATAAATACTTGTTGTTGTAAGCAGATGAAAATTTGAACTTATTCGTTATGCAGTGTAAGTCCACTGCAACAATTTCACTAAAAAAAATTCTTAGAATTTCTGAAGTGATTTTAGACTTATAAATCTTTTGGTGAAGGAAAATGAAAACAAAATTCTAACCTATCATACAAATATGTTTATTGTTTAAATATTTATAAATGATAAGATTTTCATTATGGATGAAAACATTTATTGAAAATGTTATACATTTCATATTAATATTTACAACTGGTTTAAGGCACATAGTGCAAAATACTTCTTTTCTGATACAGAGATCCCCAAATGTTTCTCTATGATACAATATATCCCTAATAAATGTTTGGGAGGAAAAAAAAAACTTTGTGGGTAAAACTCATATAGTATTTACTGGCAAAAATCTGTTAGTAGATTCAGTTTTTTGGTTTACAGAGATGGTTGCCATAGAAAAATATTATTTGTACACCTGTCTTTTTAAATCATATTATTATACAAGACACAATTAAATTATCCACCTTAAAAAAAAAACTTAATACCTGAAAATTTGCCCATCGATAGTTAATTTTATATTACTTTTTCATTGTCTGGATATGAGAATCTTCAGATATAAAATAACTTGAACATCTCAAATAAAGGTTTTGCATATGTAAACATAATTTTATGTTTACCAAAACAGGAGCTTCAAAATTTCAAGGAATTCTCACTTGTTTATTTGATTAATAAAATATAAAATGCAGTATATAACTTTGAGAAAATAAAAACTTTAAGAATAGATATATACACATACAAGAGTTATAAATGCATAATAGAATATAAACATTATAAAAACAACGCATTGCTTGTATAATAGGTACAATCAAATTAGAGGTAGGTTTATAAAATCAAATTCCAATATATCATATCTTCTCCTGGATTATGCCCACAAAATTTCATATTTAGTATTTAACCAAACATGGATTTTTAATATAAAATTTGCACCTCATTTTTCAGAACCATTATTTTAATTAAAGCACCACAATCAACAATAAAAGAAAGTAAAGGAAAAATAAAACAAGGTATCTAAACTGTATCAGTAGAAAGTATAATGGCTATGTACTTTTCTGATGTAAATGCTGGTTTACTATTCACCTGGAAGATTCAATAATGCTTATTGAATAAGTTCATTTTCCTAATTTGTACTTTCTCCATTTTAACATAAAGTACATAAAATGTTTCATTGTACACTAGGATATTAAGCAGAGATTTACATGTGTAGTTATAGGCATAATATAATTATGGTCCAGTTCAAGCTGTTAACAGCAATATTAACTTAGTATAACTCATTTAAACATCCCTGTATTCTCTATCATAAACTATTATGTCCTCTGAAAGAGGTTCTGATTGAAGTCATACATCTGTTATTTTGAAGGACTTGAAAAAATTTTAAACAGTGATTTGAATCCCTGATGAGTACCCTGAAAAAAAGGCAGAGACATTTTGGGCATGGAAATTTCAGGAAAGAAAGAGTGAAGAAGAAAAGAGCACCAGTTGTCTGCACGTCCAGGGAATATCTCCTCCTTGGGGCATACTTCCCATTACTGAATGTTCATATTACTTGAATTGGAAGACCAGTAGTCATGTGAGGAACACACTTTCCACAGAACCCTCCACATCTGCCATAGACTTTGGTTCCGTCCTGAAAATAGGAAGAGGTGGAAATATAGGAGAATCGTAAACAAGCTGGTGTCTGCATGCATAAGGCAGAAAAAGCACATGTTTTGAATCATATGGCTGAAGTCATTAACCTACATTTCCTACAACAATTGCATTTGAGGTCAAAGATCACACCATTTTAGGATTAGTTCAAATCTGTGGTCATGGAAAAGTAGAAAAGGGAATTAGATGATGAGATTTATATTAACTACTTGATGATTATAAACTACACTACGTCTAGAAAATTTATCTGAATCCACATATTTTTCATCAATTTATCTATTTGCTTCAGCTCGTTTATTAAAACATCCCCCAATTTGCTGTCCAATATTTACCTTCCTTCATGTAAAATTCTCTTAGACTAAATAAAAGAAAGATGTTACACAAACTTAACCTTAACTGTATACAACCCATATTCTACCCTATGTACCTCAAATACTTCATGGAAACATTAAAAACATACCCTGAAGAAAAGTATAGAAGAAGGTGGGAAAATGGGGAAAATGATTAAAATGAGCTGAAAATAGTAATTATTAGGAAAGGACTAAAAAGGGAGAATCTTCCCTAAGCAGAGTGAATCACTGAGGAACAGAAGGGCAGGAATAGGGTAAAGGGGTAATCAGGACATGGTGATGTACTCTCTCTAGACCTCCCTCCATCTTTAGATCCCGTGGTCAAAAGACTGTGAAGACATTTTGATAGGATAAGACAAAAATAGAACTTCCACGGTTATTGGAGAAGGTAATATACATACTTTTTTTTTTTTAATTCCTTGGGGCGCAGTGGTTAAGAGTTATGGCTGCTAACCAACATGTCAGCAGTTCGAATCCACGAGCTGCTCTTTGGAAACTCTATGGGGCAGTTCTACTCTGTCCTATACGGTCGCTCTAAGTCGCACTCAGCTCAATAGCAATGGGTTTGGTTTGGTTTTGGTTTTTTTTTAATCCAAGGAAGAAGGGTAGAGATGGGGACTTTGGTTCCTGGGATATTTTGAGATGGAAGACTTTGAGACCAGAGACTTTTGGAGTTACCTTGTTTTTTTTTTTTTTTTCTTTCCCCAGAGGCGCTTTTAACGCTAGAGAATCTGAGTAAACAAAGAAGGGAATGGCAGTAAAAATTAAACTTTATATACTTTCCTATTCTCAAAGCTGATTGTTTAAGTAAACATTTAATCTTGATTAAATTTACTGGTAAATAAAAATATGTTTGCATTTCCATAAATACCTTTGGGTATCACAGATCTCAGATTCATACCAGGCAGCAGAGTTCAAAGAATGTGTCACATTCATGTGTCACATTTTTTATCGTGAATTAAAGTTCTTAGCTAATTAAATAAACAAATAATCTTTAGACTAGGAATTAAATAGAAGGAAAATAAATGACTTTACTAAATATTCATATTGCCTAGTGATGCCAGCCAGAGTTCAGTCTTTATATTTAAGCAAAAAGTACCTAAAAGCTGGATTAAAAAAAAAAGGTGAGTATATTCCATTTGTAGCCATGGTGGCACAGTGGTTAAGAGTTCGGCTACTAACCAGAAGGTCAGCAGTTTGAATCCAGCAGACACTCTTTGGAAACCCTATGCAGCAGTTTTACCCTGTCCTATAGGGTCACTGGAAACCCTGGTGGCGTAGGGATTAAGTGCTATGGCTGCTAACCAAAAGGTCAGCAGTTTGAATCCACCAGGTGCTCCTTGGAAACTCTGTAGGGTCTCTATGAGTCAGAATCAACTCGATGGCAACTGTTTTTTTTGTTTTTTAATTTCATTTAGTTCTACATTTATAGCTGCCCAGAATAGGTGTAACTAATCAATTTATTCCCATTCTTCTTCCAAAAAGATTTAGTTCTATATATGCTAAATAAATACTTGGAAATAAATAACCATTCTTTCTGAAAGCTTACTTGGCTTACTCATATAAGAGAAATAATCACATTTGAAGTTCTTTTAATTATTAATTAAAGCACAATTTCATAGTCCTTAGAAACAGAATGTTTTCAAGGCTATGAATATTAGAATGTTGAATTTCATTTACAAATAACGATTATATAAATAGGAGTATAACATCCTTTTATCAAAAGAAAAGAACAGCATAAAACATTAGAGTGGGCAGGCACTTTTGCCATATAGGTGAGAACACATATAACCTAGATCCAAATTTACTCCAGGTAGAGCCATGCTTTCTAAGACGCAATAACTGAAAGTAGTGGTCATCCTCTCATAAAGTGCACATTATAATGCACCACACCAGCAACAAGCCCAAGTGTCACAGTGGTTAAAATGCTCAGCTGCTAACCAAAAGTTCAGTGGTTCAAAACCACCAGTGGCTCCATAGGAGAAAGATGTGGCAGTCTGCTTCCATAAAGACTGTTGCCTTGGAAACTCTATGGGGCAGTTCTACTCTGCCCTGTAGGGTCAGTATGAGTAGGAATCTACTAGACGGCGGTAGGTTTGGTACTGTGGGAAATGTGTGTGGTATAGTTAGTATCCAAATAACAATGTTATCTAGATAAGGACAGGCAAAGGAAAATATGAGTACAGCCATAAATAAGTAGTCCTAATTCTTGAAGAAACTTTGAAGGATATTTGTTAAATGACAAATGGCTCCTGCACCCACGCTTATCACTAAGCAGGGGCAAAAAAAAAAAAAAAACCAAACCCATTGCCGCTGAGGTGATTCTGACTTATAGCGACTCTATAGCAAAAATTCATGCCTCACTTTGAGATAGTATCGGAAGAAAGCCCTGACAATCTACTTTCGAAAAATCAGCCATTGAAAACCCTGTGGAGAACTCCTTATGGAGTTCTTCTCTGACATACGTGTGCTCACCGTAAGTCAGAATGGATTCGATGGCAACCGGTAATTGAAGACTAAGGTCTGTAAACCTTTAGTAATAAAGTGCAAAGAAAAACGCTGCTTCTTTCTGAAGTGACTTCGTCTCCAGTCTTTACTCCCTAACTTGGGCTAGACAATATTTATACTCCCTGGCATTTGGTATTTCATGTTCAGATATCTGTAGTCTGTATATAAATTTGTGTGTGTGAAACTTACATATATATTAATAAAAAAACAACCAATTTCACAATTTCATATTAATTAATGCTATGCCTCAACTCTTTAGTCATTAAATTATTGATATAACTCTAACTATGGCAGAAGACCTTTAATACTAGTTCAAAGCACAGAAAGAAGTATTTCAAGCTGGCTTTTTGGTCCAGCAGGACTTACCTGTGATCTGTGTATGATGACAGAGGCATAACTCCCTTGAGCAAGCCATTTCACTGTGCTGGATATCTTCATCCCAGTTCCTGCCAAATTAATACTGAACTGTCCCTGGATTGTAAACAAAATTAGATGAAATCCATAAAATATTTAAGAATGCTTTTGTTTGGAAACATCTGAATGTGAGTTATATAAAGAACATCTCGGTTACTTTCACGGGTCTTCCTTTATAAAATGAAAGAATATTGACAAAACTTTACTCTGAAGAAATGAACCAGCTTAATTTTTAAAAACTGATTACAAATATGTCTTCTCAGTTACAAGAGACAACTGAATTAATACCACACAATGTTATTTTTGCAAAAGTGACTCTGTCCAACCCTCAGATACTACAGCTTGACAACAGCGCTAATGGTCCTATAGCTATAAAAAGTCCCGACAGAAGGGGTGTTGATAGGGACTAGCAGACTATCATTTCCCAAGTGTCAATTTTTGGTCCTTCATTGGTAAACTCTTGAGAAGTTGCATGCTGTTTAATGTATTTTCAAGAATCTTCTCTTATTGTGGCCCCTTTTTTGTGATATAAATATTACTTCTTAACTCACCATACAAAACTACTGAAGGTAGTAGTACTGCACTGGTTATTATGTCCTTTTTAAGCAGCCAGAAGTGTACACGGGCATAAGATGACACATGATTTACACATATTATGGTGTGTGGGCCCCTAATGGCTTTATAATCTAATTATTTTCAAGTACAAGGACCTTTTTGTCTCAAAATATTTCAGACTATCTTCATAAATCATTAAACTTTAAATATCCATTGATTGAGAAAATGTGTAACTAAAATGGATAAAATCTGTATCATATTGAAATTATCTTGCAAGAAAAAATTACACATTGAAAAGTAGAGTGGCCATCTATGATACAATCATTGGTCTCTTCCTGTCTGAAGCAAAGGAGAGTGAAGAAAACCAAAGACTCAAGGAAGCAATTAGTCCAAAGGACTAATGGCCCACAGGAACCACAGTCTCCTCTAGCCTGGGACCAGAAGAACTAGATGGTGCCCAGCTACCACTACCACACCCTGATCAAGAACACAGCAGGAGGCCCCAGCTAGAGTGGGAGAAAAATGTAGAACAAAATTCAAAGTCATAAAAAAAGATCAGACTTAGTGATCTGATAGGGACTGGAGGAACCAAGACTATATCCCTAAGATACCCCTCTAACTTGGAACTAAAGCCACTCCCAGAGGTCACCTTTCAGCAAAATAAAAGACAGACCTAAAAGAAAAACAGTAACACCTGTGAGGAATGTGCTCCTTAGAACAATCAACTATATAAGATCAAAAGGGCAACATTTGCCCAAAAACAAAGATGTGAAGGCAGGAAGGGGCAGGGAAACCAGTTGAATGGAAACAGGGAACCCAAGATGGAAATGGGGTGAGTGCTGACGCAGTGTAGGGATTGCAATCAATGTCACGGAACAATTTGTGTATAAATTATTGAAATGGAAACTAATGTGCTTTGTGAACTTTCACAATAAAAGCACAATAAAATGTTAAAAAAAAAAAGTAGAAATGCATGCTTGTTTACTGACAATCCTCGATAATATAGACTCAGAGCAGTGTCTAGGCATGCTTAGATCACATCACAATACCCAAATGGCCTAAGACACATGAGTCTTGAACAAGACTATGATGAAATTGAGAGCTATATTATATTAATTAAAATATTACCTTGCCATGAAAGCAAATGCTAAATAAACTTCAAATGTATTTATAATATGAATTATTATTATTGCTAAAAAACAAGATATCCATTTAGTTAATTAGACTCGGCTTCTTAACAATCTTATATTATACTTACGTATTTCTTATTTAAAAACAAAATAAGGATTCAATCACATTTATAGTACAATGACAATATATGGAGGATTTTCTATAGTAGAATTAATTAGTTTTAGATAAATTTCAAAGAAAATTTCTTATTACATCCAGCATCACTTGTTTAGAATATGACCTGCATGTTTGCTTCATTGCTGTATTCCCAGAGCCTAAAGTAGTACCTAGTTACTCAATAAGTGTTTTTGAATGGATAAATTAAGTGAAACATTATAAATTTTAAATTATAGCATTATAAAAGTAAACACATAAACACACCATAAAACTTTTCAGACTCCATGATAATGAATGCCATTAACCCTACACACACTTGTACTTTATTTTGGGAAATACTTGAATGAAAAGAACTAATTCTTAGGAATGATTTCATTTTACTTGGATCAATAATCGATGTCCATGGAAGCTATAGTCCAGAAATCAAATGATGTATTGCATTGGGCAAATCTGCTGCAAAAGACTTCTTTAAAATCTTAAAATGCAAAGATGTCACTTTGATGACTAAGGTGCACCTGACCTAAGCCGTGGTATTTTCAATTGCCTCATATGCATGTGAAAGCTGGACAATGAAAAAGGGAGATTGAAGAAGAATTCATGTATTTGAATTATGGTGTTGGCGAAGAATAATGAATATACCATGGACTCCCAGAAGAACAAACAAATCTGTCTTGAAGGAAGTACAGCCAGAATGCTCCTTAGAAGGAAAGATGGAGAGACTTTGTCTCGCTTACTTTGGACGTGTTATCAGGAGGGACCAATCACTGAAGAAGGACATTGTGCTTGGTAGAGGGTCAGCGGAAAAGAGGAAGACCCTCGATAAGATGGACTGACTGCAACAAAGGGCTGAAACATACCTGCTATTGTGAGGATGGCATAGGACCGGGACACACTTCAGTCTATTACACATAGGGTCACTATGAGTCGGAGATGACTTGACAGCACCTAACTAACTTTCTACTATTTGAAACTTAGTCAATCTGATACAGGTTTTGCTCTGGATACCTCTATCCCACATTCCTTCACAAATAGGCATCTCACCAAATAAAATTCATTTAAAATGGAAATATATTATTTGAAGTAGGTTTTCTGTAACCAACCACTTATTGAATGCCCAGGTTGGGCCATGGAGTGTTTTCACATTATTCTGTTGTTCTATTATTCCATTCATTCTCCAACTTCCTGCTCGATGTGGCTTGGAAGCATTCAAATGTATATGTAATGGAAGTGAAAGGAAAGAATTCATCAAACCACTTAGAGACTTAGGTGGTCATTAACACAATCAGTGTGGGTCTAGAAATATCTATTGCTCCATTTTTCTGGATTAATTTTCATGAGTTTTACTTCTGTTCTTAGCCTATGTTTTAAAAAACTATAAAATACAATCTCAAAAAAAAATGGTAAAACGATTCATTTTAAAATTAGAATAATATTGATAGAGGTAAAAATACATTTCATTCATGTGTTCAAAACTAATTGATTGGTAGACATGGTATCGAGTACTGTGGAAGTTCAGAAATAGATCTCACTCTAAAACTGGTATATAAAATGACATATAACTGTACTATATGTTATAAATACTGGTATATAAAATGACATAAATAACTGTAATGCAATGTAGAGAATTGTAGGTATCATAAGAAAGGGGATGATAAATTTTATTTGGAAGTAATACATAAGTGTATAAATGCATTAATTCCAGTATTTCATTTAAGATTAAGATTTAAACTTTCTAAAACCTATTTTTTTTTTTTTTTTTTAAGTAGCACAAAGTTTCCCTCCTCTTCTACTCTCTGGAAATTTTTTGGAAGAGGCCACTGTAAGAAGTAAAATTCCAGTAACCAAATCACGAATGAAAGGTAAGGTGATTCAAAATACCTGGGAATTCAACAACTGGAATGTGTGCCCTTGAGTAATGCTCTACATCAAAGAAAAAATTAACAGAACTCTAATTTAACTATGGAGTAAAGAGAGTAAAAGGTCCAAAAGAAGCTAATGATATCCTTGAGAGCAAGGCCATACTTACACTTTAATAAAGTAAGAAATTGTCTCTGTAATTAAAAACAATGTGAACTTAGCACCCAGTAATGAAACTTCAGAACACCAAAGATACAAAGATCTTAAAAATAGCAGAGAGAAAACACTAATTACCTCATTTATGAAATAGAAGTTAGATGACAAAGGAACAATATCTATATTGTTCTGAGAGATAATAACTTTCAACATAAAATTCTACACCCAGCTAAATATCTGTAGACCCAAACAAGAATTGATGACAGCATAAAATAAATAAGAATGACTAATTTTAAGAGTTTAAAAAACACATGCACACACACTCTCCAGATTAGTTTGTCATACTGTGGTAGTTGGCCTGTTGCTGTGATGCTAGAAGCTATGGCACTGGTATTTCAAATACCAGCATGGTCACCCATGGTGGACAGGTTTCAGCAGAGCTTCCAGACTAAGACACACTAGGGAAAAGGACCTGGAGATCTACTTCTGAAAAAATTGGCCAGTGAAAACCTTATGAATAGCAGCAGAACATTGTCTGATATAGTGCTGGAAAATGAGCTTCTCAGGTTGGAAGGTACTCAAAATACAACTTGGGGAGAGCTGCTTCCTCAAAGTAGAGTCGACCTTAATGACGTGGATAGGTTAAAGCTTTCAGGACCTTCATTTGTTGATGTGGCATGACTCAAAATGAGAAGAAACAGCTGCAAACATCCATTAATAATGGAAACATGGAATGTATGAAGTATGAATCTACGAAAATTGAAGGTCTCAGAAACGAAATGGACCGCATAAATATCGGTATCCTAGGCATTAGTGAGCTGAAATGGACTAGTATTGTCAATTTTGAATTAGACAATTATACGGTCTACTATGCCAGAAATGAGAAATTGAAGAGAAATGGCATCAAAGTCATCGTCAAAAACAGCATTTCAAGATCTGTCCTGAACTACAGCTCTGTCAGTGATAGGATAATATCCCTATGCCCACAAAAGAAGACCAGTCAATACAGCTATTATTAAAATTTATGCACCTACCACTAAAGCCAAAAATGAAGAAGTGAATATTTTTAGCAACGTCTGCAGTCTGAAATTGATCAAATATGCAATCAAGATGCATTGATAATTACTGGTGATTAAAATGTGAAAGTTGGAAACAAAGAGGGATTGGTAGTTGCAAAATATGGCCTTGGTGATAGAAATGAT